GATATTAACATTGATATATTTTTTTTCAATTTTTTATGATATCTTCAAATTTATATTTTGTTCAAAAATAAAATCATTATTGTTTTCTTAAAAACACATAAAATCGTATTATAACATCGACAGAGGCAAATAATAAAATATAACATTAAAGTCGAGAGGTGTCTCGCTGCATTGCGCGAGTACTCTTGTAGTTAAATTATAAAGCATTTGATAAAAACTATTTTTTTTATGAATGAAGTACTGTTTATTAATACATATTACGCACAACTTCTTATAGCTCCATTTTTTAATTCATGCAACTAACTGCAGATAAACATAAACAAATGCAGACTAAACATCTCATCTTAAATATAAAAAATCTAAAATATAATTATGATCATTGAGTTCTAACAGAACCGTTATCTTTATAAAAATATATTGTTAAGCCAAAAATTAATTACTTCGCTGTTAGACCTAAATTAAATTATAATAAAAAATGAATTAAAAAAAATTGTACAAGCAAAACGAAAACTTTTAAATAGTTAATTTGATATTAATATTGATATATTTTTTTCAAATTTACTTTTGTTCAAAATTAAAAACATTATCTTTATCAAAATCACATAAACCGTATTATATCAACATAGACAAAAAATATAACGAAACTCTGAAATGAAAATGTATCTCGCTGCATTGCGCGAGTACCGTTCTAGTATATAATAATTATTTTAATCAATATATTATATATTTTTAATTTTTTTATCATCTTGTTTGTATTAGTTAACATATTAAAAAGATTTGTTTTAATTATATTTTATTATAATTGTTCAAGTATTCAAAATGACTTTTTTGGTCATTTTACATTTCTATAGGCTAGGTTTGTCATATATGATCTGTTAATCAGCTAACTTATCAGCTAGTTTGCTAAACATAACCTAAGTAAAATTGCTCAAAATTCATGCATAGAAATGAGTTAGTTCCAATAATTATTTGAACTTATTTATAAATTAAAAAATTATTTTTCTTCAGATTCAATCTTACACTTAAAAATTAATTGATTTTTTTGTTTTGGTAATCGTTACTTAATCGTTACCTTACCTTAAACGGAAAAAAAAGTTATACAACAAATCGTTGGTCACTGAGGTCTTCTACATTCGGGAGCTAATCTAGACCCTCTAGTGAACGAGAAATGCATTTAATCGAACATAATAATTTGACTATTTTTGTAAGAAAACTAAAGAAGAAGAATATATGTAATTATTAGATAAATCTAGAAATATTTTGTAATACTTATAAAAAGGATTTGGAAAGATACTGAGTTAATAAGTATAAGGAAATATCATTTTTATGTTAAATATCCTTATGTCACGTTTGGTTTGCAGAAATGGAATGAATTTGAGAGGATTTAGATTTCAAATCTATTCCAATCTTATGTTTGGTTTGTTAGATTGTCTGGATTTGAAATCCTATAAACATAGTATTTCAAAATCGTTATGGGGTGCTTGGGATTTCATGGCGTTTCATAGAATTGTATGCAAGAAGGATCTAAAAATGTTAAAAACATTTGTTTTGTAATAATCGATTATTAAAAATGTAATTTAATTTTTTTTATAAATTATTTGTAAATAATGGAATCCAATTCCATTCGTGGAATGAATTAGTTGAGGAAATGGAATGGAATTTGACCATGTCTTTTAATTGCGTTTGGTTGGATAGAATTGGAATGAAATTTGAAATCCGTGGTATATGTGGTGGAATTGTGAAATTGGTGACTTAAGGAATTTGTTGGAATCGGAAGGATTCCTTAACATCTATTATGTGAACCAAATATGGTATTTGGAATTTGGTCAAAGATTTGGACATTCCAATTCCACCAAATTCCATGAACCAAACAACCCCTAAGTTTATAACAAATTTTTAAAAATATTCCTATTAAAGAAATCTTGCAATCTCAAAACATTATATAAATATTCCTTTGTCAAATAAATCTGTGGGTATCTTTCTCCGATCATAAAACCATCTGATCTAAATCTATAATGATGATATGACGGTTATTAATCAATTATAACTAATATATAGTTTCACACTGTCTTTTCACATAGAGGTGGGTTCAATGCATCCATATGTATTCTTAAATGCATTCTTACTTATTGATCTGAACTTATGAATAATAGCGTTTTAATTACTTTAGAGTGATGAATTGTTGACGTTAGAAGATATGATTTTTATAAAAAGACTTGTCAATTCTTTAACATGTGTTTTGTGTTAAAAGTGATCTAACATTTTTGAGTAAGTTATTCAAGAAAAAGTATATGTAGAAGTGGTCCAGACGTCCACAAGCACTGAATCTAGATTTTTGCTTCAAACAACAGATTTTGCAGTCCATTTTACCACATTGTTCAACAGAAAAAAATTTCGATCAAAACATTTGCAAGCTTTCGAATTAAATGTACGATTTTACCTAACACTTCAAAAACCTCTTCGCACTTGAACAACTTGATGTTTGAGGCACCTCCCTATAGGTCACTGGGCTTTTGCCACTTCTCACATAGGTTATCAATTCGAGTCCCACAAGAGGTTAACTCACTACAATAAGGTCTTGTTTGTTTTTTTTATATCTAAAAAAAACTTTTATCAGCCTCTTTTGTTTGATTTGTTAAAAGGTAAGATCATTCATACTGTTTGTTTTGTTTTTTTCCAGTTTTTCAAAGGCAGTTATACCTTATTGTCCTCTTTTCCATTAAGAGATAAATCAACATCTTATTTGTCTCTTATTGTTCTTCAAACCCTCAACAACAACGTTTCTCAATCGATTAACCTTAATCGATCCTTACCAAATCAATTCTCACCTCTCTCAATTGATGTATTTTAATAATTTTTAAATATTGTTAATGACATATTTTCATTTAAATGAATGCTAATTATATAATTAAGATGTAAATTTCGTAATGATGATGAATAAACATGTGAAATTGTATAAATTTATCTATAAATTCGACATTACATTCTTTAATAAG